AAGGGTTCAAAATGTGTCCATTGATAGCTCCCTTCCCGGCTCCCAGCCACCTCTGTCCTCCCGAGGTACGGTCAGTGTTTAAGTCTCCTGTGCATCCTCTCCACGAAGCTACTGCGTGAGCATGCACGCCCATACGTGCGTACACGTGTTTTCTCTCTTGCTGCCAACTTTCTTTTGGGCCCGATGGTAGCACGCGTTACATATGTGTCATTTTCTCTTTTGCTCCCTTTGCTTAACATCTTACTGTCTGTGCTTAATGCATCTTGGAGATTTCTTGTATCAGTGTATAATAATTTATTGTGAGGCATCCTACTCCACTGTGTGGTATACTGTAATTTATTTTTGGTTTTGCCTTTTTAAAATTTATTATTTATTTTTGTTACGGGGTATCAAACTCAAGACCTTATACTTGCTAGGCAAGTGCTTAATCTGCTGAGCGATGTCCCTGGCCCCTTACATTGTAATTTATTTAAATCAGCTTCCTACTGATAGCTATGTTCTTAGTATTTTATTTTATACTGTTGTAGTTGCATAGAAGAACATATCTCTGTAAAGTAAATTGAATATTTTCATCATTACAGCATAAAGCATTTTCACATAATTGCCTTTAAGCAACGTAGCTGAGTCTTTTAAAGCAGGATATTGTATTAAATATGTAGTGAGCCCACTGTTAATCACACTGTAATTAGTTTAGGGATGAAATAGAAAGGATTTGAGAAGAAATAGATGAGAAGCCTGTAGTGGTGAGAGGCTCAGTCATTGAGATTTGTACTCGAGCTGTTTCCTCTTTCCCAGCTCTCATTAGTCTGCTTCTGAAACAGTCCACCAGAAATGTGCAGAGTGCTCTCCCAGAGCCGATTCCGGTTTAGTGTCTCTCCCTTAGCACCCGAGCAGCTGGAGACTTAGCGGAGGACAGTTGAAATTGCTGCAGCTATTTCAGAGACGATGCCGTTCCTTTTATTTCATAGGTATTTAATAAAGTTCCTTGCAAAGCTCGCTCAGACCAGTGACGTTAATAAGATGACTCCCAGCAACATCGCGATTGTGTTAGGCCCGAACTTGTTATGGGCCAGAAATGAAGGGTAAGTCACCGTCCCACCTGCGGGGGCCTAATAAGCCCGTTCAGGGCTGAGGTGCGTGTCATGGGGTCATGGATTTTCCCATTCAGTGCACATCCTCAGGACCCGTTTGTGAGCTGGGTGCTGTCGCAGATGCAGGAGACAAAGGCCGCAGACCTTGGGCCTGTCTTCAGAGAGCTCCCTGCTCCTGAGCAGTAGCTTCAGTACAGCGAGAAGACAGATGCGTGCGCGTGTGCGTGTGCGTGCTGGGGGATCCTTTAAGGGCTGGACCTCTGCCGTCGCATGCAGGGTCTCTGGCTGTGCTGGAATACAGTCGACATGAAGCAGGCCAACGGGAAGGCATGCAGGCTTTTACAAGGACATGCATACCTAGGAAAACAAAGACCTAGAGAAGCGGTTAGGGCTGACCGCTCTTACACTGGGTTGGACGAAAAGTAGAGCTGTTGATTATAGAGACGAGGCTGGGAAGGTAAGGATCAAGTTAGCAAGGTTTATTTGTGTAGATTGCCTTTGACCTCAACACCCGGTTGGGGGTGATAAAAAATGCTTGATATTTTTCCTCTTGCTAGGGGGAGGCATTTTTCACATGGGGGTTTATCTCCTGCTTTCCAGAAGAAAAACGAAGGTCAGAGTGCGCTTCTTGTATCTGCTCCTCTTTAAATGCTTTGACCTCACACTGACACGTATGCTGCAGGGCCACGTCTTGGGGTGCCGTACTTGGCGTCCCTTCTGTGTCACTGATATCAGCTAGACGGCAGCAGGGGAAGCAGCCCCAGGCTTCGCCTGGGTGAAGCAGTAGTTTCCCACAGATGGCGCCTGCGTGTGCCAGGCGTTGCAGTGTGAAGGGCTCGATTCCTGGTGTTGAGGGCCGTCTCTCCATCTTGGGCCACTTGACACTGGTTTGGGTAGGTCAGAGCCAGATGACAAAGGGGCTTACATATCCTGCTGAAGTGTTTGGAGCTTACTTCTTCAGGCCACGAAGGAGCTGTCCAAGTTCCTGGCACAGCTTACTTTCCAGATAGTTTGTTGGCCCTGAGAGGAGAGGGGCAAGGGGGAGGATCAGCTGGAAGGCTCCCAGGAAGTGGCCAGCCGCTGCGCCTGGTGTCGTCCTGCCTTTTGCGTTTCTCTTCTCCTTTTTGCAGGCTAGGATCCTGAATCTGAGAAAGGACAAGCCGGTTGCTTTGGGTGACAGGCAGGGAAGTGCTGGAGCCCAGGTGCTGGCCGTGGTCCTAACGAGCCTTTCTCTGCCTCCCCTTACGGCCTGCCTGTCTCCTCTGGGAAATCGTGAGCCAGTCGCATTCCGTTAGAACCTGGTGACTTGCTTGGCCCGACTTTCATCTATTCCCTCGCTTCTCTGTGCCCGGCCTTGTTTCAGAAAGTAGTTCTAAGGTTGCTCACAGAGATCCACCATCATGAAGCCAAACTGAAAATAAGCAGGTGAGCAGAGCTCACTGCACAGATCAGACCTTCCAGCAAATGAGTTGCAGACTGAGGACTTAAAAAGTGATGCCGTGAGCACAGCAGGCGGGTGTTTGGGGTAGGAAAGGGTTTCTAAGCATAAAAACACATAATAAAAAAAAAAAACAAAACCCAGTACTTTAAAATTGGTGGGCTGGCTATCTAACAGCTGGAAACTTTCATGTCAGAAGCACCTTGAACAAAAGACAGTTCGTAGGCCCAGAAAGAGCTGCTTTGCAGCTTCCAGGACACACGAGAGCTCTGGCAGAGCAGCACGCAGGTCTCTCTAAGCAGGAAGGTTGGAACAGAACGTGGTCGGCGTTCCCCTGCCGCCCACCGGGGTGCCACGCGTGATGCCTGGTCAGAATCCAGGGGGCAGGGGTAACTTGCAGACCACTTGCAGTTAAGCTGAGACTTAGCCAGGCCTTCTCCGTGGCTAGAAGGTGGTGCGCCGCTGGGCGTGGTGGTGCAAGCCTGTGAGCCTGGCACTCGAGTGAGGCTGAGGCCTGGGCTGCACCATGGGCTCAAGGCCAGCCTGGACTATGAAGGGAAGCCCTGTCTCAAAACCCAACAGAACAAGGCGAAGATTTTTTTTTTTTTTTTTTTTTTTTTGGTGTGGGGGATCTAACTCAGGACCCTGTGCTTCCCAGGCAGGGTCTTATGCCACTGAGGTATCTCCCCAGCCCAAAACAACAAAACAAAAAAACTGAGGAGAGAATTTTCTGGTGAGAGACAGTCGGAGTGATGACAGGAAAAAAAAAGGTTGGTCTGAGGCCGGCAAACTGAGGTCAAGTTCTTGTGAGGTCCTTGTCATCGTCCATAAGAAAGCCTCGTGACAGTAAGCTCAGTGAGAGCCCAAACGTTGGGAAGTGTCTGACGTTTTCGTCACTGGGACGAAACGCCCGACCATGCACAAGCTAAGGAGGAAAGGTTTGGGTCTCAGGTGTGGCTCAGCAGCACAGAGCCTGCCTGGCAGGCATAAGGACCTGAATTTGATTCCTGGTACCAAAAAACAAAAAAGGGAAAGTTTATTTTAGCTCACAACGTGTAGAGATTTCGGGCCATAGTTGGCTGGATCCAAAGTAGGGTGGCATGGCAGGGAGCAGCACTCAGTGACGTAGGGGCTAGGAGGGACATCTGCCCATAGACGCATAAGCTCCAGGCCACACGTGCAGGAACGCTGGCACACAAGAGCCAGTTGCCCACAGCCCCACAGTGAGCACACGGCTCTGGGGAGCCAGTGAGATAAGAGCCGTACCTGTGGGAACTTGAGTAAACAGCAGCTGCTTTGCAGGAGTTCGCGTGTGTGGTGTCTGACGCCCAAAAGGCAGTTGAGCTCAGTGTGCAGGTGTGCCATCAGGCACCTTGAACCTCTGAGCACTCACCTTGGGGCCAGAACTCGTGTGACAGTGGTGTGAATGAACGCAGGGCTCATGTTTATGGAGGCATGCTGTTGACAGTGTCTGCGCTTGGTTATGCTGTGCACACAGTTGGTGCTGGTGATACTGGGCCCAAAGGCGGATACCAGATGGGGTTCTAGCAGAAAAATGTAGTCCTTACTCCAAACCAATTTAAAGCCAGCTTTGGGCACACGTCACGTGCTATTGAGGAGCTCTGGGTACTTGTGTGTGGTCGGTTGGGAGCAGTGCAGAGGAGGGAGTGACGGCTGCGCAGGATCATCCTTCCTGGGCGACTGCTGCCAGACTCAGCCTGGACTTCAGTCTTGTGCAGTCCATTGTCCATCTGCATTTAAGTATTTTATCCTTAAAAAAGAATTGAGTTGCCTTGCCACAACCTGTGGGCCTTAGAGGCAACCAGGGCGCCAGGAATTGCTGTAGTCTGCCTTGTTGAGGCTGCCTTGAGCTCCTGTGGTGGCCCAGGCCGGCCTCCACCTCGCAGCAGTGCTGCTGCCTCAGCTCGGGAGGGTCACAGGCACGCGCCCCGGCACCAGGCTCAGTCACTCCAAGTTCACACCCTTGTTTTGCAGAACCCTCGCTGAGATAGCGGCAGCCACCTCGGTGCACGTGGTCGCAGTCCTTGAGCCCATCATTCAGCACGCCGACTGGTTCTTCCCTGAAGGTAGGGGCGTGCCACGTTCAGATTGCTCTAGTGCTGGGGAGACAGTCCCCTGGAGGAGGTCCGTCAATGGTCACACAATTGGCCCCACCTGGTACACTGCTCTCTGGCCCTTGTTCATTTGCATGCGCATTTTGGCATAATCATCCCATTTTGTATCTACTTAATTGTGCTAACACGTATTCAGCCGGCCTATGGAGGCCCCACGAACTGCGGTGTGTGGCTGGCAAGACATGCTGCCGTCCTGGGAGGAGGAGCTTGGGCCCTGGGAGAAGGCAGTCGCGTAAGCAGATGACTTGAGCAGGAGCTTGGGCCCTGCGAGAAGGCAGTCACGTAGGCAGATGACTTAGGGCATGTGGTGGGTGAGGGAGACAGGTGGGTGCAGAGCCATGTATGAACTCACGTGTTAGCAGTAGGGAGCCAGCCAGGAGCTCCGTGTTAGAGCAGGTTACTCTGCATACGCAGGGATTTTCTAGAAGGTACGGGGGGAAGATCGACGGGGAGCAGCTTGTGAAGAGGCATAAGTTATATCAGCACACTAGGATTTCATTCTGTCAGGGATAGGTTTTCCAGGTGTGTGTGCTGCACACCTGGGACCCCTGGGGGTGCTCATGGCCTCCTTCTGGGACGCTGGCTCACACGTGTTGCATGGGTTCCCCCCTCCGTCCCCTGCGCAGCTCGGCTGTCCTGTGCGCTCTGCAGTGCAGGCTTTCTGAGGCCAGGTCTTGCTCGTATTCTCCACTGATTGCCCCGACTCTCACGTTCATTGCCATTGACGAGGTCTCCTGTGCAGGCTGCCTTCTCCCAGCTTGCTCCTTCAAGGAGATAGCTGCGAAGTGCTGCAGGAAGTGTGCCCTCATGTTGTCTTGTTGCTCTGTTTTATATCAAAGTGTGAATGTCTCCCTTGTCAGTGATTCAAGTAAGCAGTCTCTGCCGTCTGCTTCTGTGTCCCATGGGCAGGGCTGTGCGCCCTGGGCTCTGAATTGTGCCTCCTCCACTGCCTCTGGTTCTTTTGGCCTCCCACGGGTGTTTGGTCCCCTTGTGAGGTCGGTCACCTGCAGTGGAAGAGCGTGCGAGAGCCCCCTTCCAGCGTGTGTCTTCCAACCCCTCCCCCAGCTGACGTCCCACGCACTTACTGTTCTCACAGAGGTGGAGTTTAATGTCTCAGAAGCATTTGTACCACTTGGCACTCCCAATTCTAATCACTCATCCCACACTGGAAATGACGTAGACTCGGGGACCCAGGAGAGGAAGCGGCCGGCCAGCATGGCAGTGATGGAAGGAGACCTGGTGAAGAAAGAGAGGTGAGTTAGAGCTGCTGCTCCTGGGGCGGCCAGCGTCGGGCAGAAGGACGTGAGCCACGGTGTCTGGCTCCAGCTCAGTGTCCCCGAGTCATGTACCCACAGCGGCAGAGGCCACGTAGTGGAGGAGTTGTGCTGCAGTTCCTTCCACACATTCACCTGACCACAAGGTGGCTGTGTAACTGGTCAGTGGACGTCGTGCCACACGCATCCAGCCTTGCCATGTGGTGTTCTGTGAAACATCACACGAGACTAGCATCATGGTACACACCGCATACACACCTGTGTGTGCTTTATTGGTGGAAGAGAAAAGGAAAGTGGCTAAGGGGGACTTTGGTGCAGCACTGTGTGTGAGGCAGCTCAGACCTCACGCTGCCCAGACGTGCTTGGGCATCACACGGCCTCTCAGGAGAAGCCAGCGCTGAGCTTAGCATCCGGCTGGTGAAATCTCAGTATTTGCCAATTATGGAAAACGTGACTGTGTTGAGCTTAGCAGTCTGTCTCGCTACAGTTCTCTGTGGAGAACTCGTGCGCTGTTTTAAGGGTGGTGGAAGACGTGTCTGCCTCAGGTAGCAGCCGTCTGGGGTATGTGACGAAATGCCCCTAATCACCAGGAAGCGGGGTTAAGGGGCCTGCGGGCAGGACCGTGCCTCTCTCCGTGTGTAATAGTGTTGCTGGGACTGGCTCATGTAAAGCTAAGTAGCGAGCTCTTGCTTTAGCGGTCCAGTTTTACACTGAGGTGTGGGGGGCATTTGTTCGTTTGGGGTCTTCTTACTTGTAGTAAAGGGAAACGCTGCACTCTGCTGTTGTCCCACCGTGAGATTCACGTTTTCTGTGTAAAAGCCCCGCTCTGCTGAGCGCTCATGCGCTGATTCAGTAGTATCTCCCAGTTAGCGTTTTTCAGTCTGGAACCAGATGCGCGCTCGCGCATTTTAAGTGACATGCAGAGTCATGTGTCGGGCGGCGCAGGCGCAGTGTCCTGCTGCTTTCCCGCTGGCCCAGTAGACACCTTGGGAGCCAGGCACCTTCTTTTCCCCCTAGTGTATACACTCGTGACAAGTCTTGCTCCTGTCCCCCAGCCACCATTCCTTTGCCCAAGACTTTTCCAGGCAGACGTAGCTTTTGGGTGTCTTCTGTTTCCCCTGCATTAAGAGGCAGTCAACATGGTGGCTGGGGTCCTCACCAGCCAGCCTTTGGGCATGGCCTCATTTCCCAGTCGCAGGTTTGAGGTGCAGATTAGGCAGCAGGAGAGCAGCTCACAGGGCGTCACTGGGATGAGGCTGCCTGTGCTTGCAGCAGCTCGCGCCCAACTGATCGAGGACGTTGATCAGCACCAGGTGCACTGGCTTTGTTCAGGCTTAAAGCCGCGCTGTCGCTTGCTTTGGGAATGGGGAAGAGGTGTGGTCCTTGCCACATGTCTGCATGCTGGGCGGTTGGGAGGCTGTCCTTGTTCCCTTCTAACGTGTGCGGCCCAGTGTGCTTTTGTCTCTGTGGTCAGCTTGCGCAGTGTGTTGACTGTTTCCTCTCTCTGTAGCTTTGGTGTGAAGCTTGTGGACTTCCAGGCCCACCGGCGGGGTGGCACCCTAAACAGAAAGCACATGTCCCCTGCTTTCCAGCCACCACTCCCGCCCGCAGATGGCAGCGCCTTGGCTCCAGCTGGCCCAGAGCCCCCTGCCCAGAGCTCTCGGGCTGAAAGCAGCTCAGGGGGTGGGACTGTCCCCTCCTCTGCAGGCATACTGGAGCAAGGGCCAAGCCTGGGTGACAGCAGGTAAGCAGCCCACTTCTGCTGGCAGCGGAGGCCAGATGCCCTGGCCTCTCGGCAAGGGGCAGCCTTTGGTACTGGACTCACTCCCAGAGGGTCCTTCTGGCACATTGTGAACCAGACTTGCTCTTGCTGCCCCGGTTAGCAGACGATGGAGTGGAAAAAAGACTGCAAGAGGCTTGCTTCTTTGTACGTTTGCAAAAGAAGCAACATTTGTTTGCGTTCTTTGTCACACTGCTGCTTTGGTGCTGGAAACTCGACCAGCAGGCGTGTGTGCTACACCCCTGGTCCCACCTGGTGTGCAGCTGTCGGCATTCGTGTGCTTGTGCTCATTGCGTGTGCTGCCTGGTAAGCAGGTGAGTGCAGTGAGTGGGGTGTGGTGTCCCAGCACCTGCCGTTTGTGCACACGTTCATTAATGCAGTCAGACAGACATGCTGCGTCACTGACCTGTGCTGGGCACGGTGCTGGGCTCCAGGTGACCAAGGCCCCAGCCCCACAGGGAGCTAGCACACGTGTCCAAGGTAGAGAATATGCTGTTTTTTCTTAAAGAGTCAGTGGATTGCTTAAGCCACTGGGAGGGGCCTGCACGGTGTAACAGCTCTAAGGAAGGTGCCTGGAGTTGAGACTGTGACTTGTGTTAGCTCCTGCTATGCACCAGCTGGCCAGAGGCCATTCCAGGTGGTGTCTGGCAGCTCCAGTGGTAGCTGCTGTGAACAAGGAGGCCGTCCACAGGGTGCTAGGCCTTGGGTTGTCACTTGCTGTAGTGTGGCTACCCTCACAGCTCTGAGCGGTCATATCTGAGGTAAAGAAACTGCAGCAAGGACAGTGTCATGGTGTGAAGTCTCCACGTAGGACTTCGGTCAGCCGCATGCCTGGACCGCGAGGGCCCTGTGCATGCTTGAGCCTTTGCACTCCCATGCTGTGGCAAAGTCCGTTTTTCAGTTGAGAGCTTCTAACTAAAATTTCTACCTTTGTAGGGCTTCGTTGGCCTGGCGTCGGCTTCGTCCAGCTCAGTACCTGCTGTTCCATGCAGACAGTTATTTCGGTTAAAGTCTTTTTGAGACATTAATGACAATGCATTTACGCACTGTCATTTTCTCCTGAAAGTCAGCTCACTGAAGAGTGGACATATTTAAGTGACTCCGTCCTCTTCACTGTGGAAGGACAGATGGACCATCCGTCCTCGCTTGCTCTGTGTTCCTTGTACTCTGGGTGTTTAGGTACACGTTTCACTGATGGCATCCACTCTTTGGTGACCTTAGCAGTTGTCACTGTCATTTTTGCTACCAGAGTTTGGCCAGGAAGTAGCAAGCCTGAACTCTGGTCTGCCCTGCTGCCCTTGGAGCAGAGCCTTGAGTTATGGTTTAGAGCCTCTCAAGAGTTTTCCTAGTTGGTGGTAACTAAGTGTGTCGTCATTTCACGTATTATGTTACTGTTGCTCTTAGTTTTGCATAATTATTTGGAAAAACCTAAAAGTCGTATTTTTTAATATTGCCCAGTTTATTTTTTATTATTATTTTATGTATTTGGTACAGGGTCTTATACACGGGTTGGACTTGTAGTGATCTTCCTGTTTCAGCCTCTCTAGCGCTAGGATTACAGGCGTGTGCCACTACACCCAGTCCGGGTGGCCAGCTGAGCGAGCTCAGGGACAGGGCCAATGCAGCGTGCAGTCCAGGGATCGAACCCCGGTCCTAGCGCTTGCCTAAGCAGGCACTTAGTCCACTTAGCTGTCTCGCCAGCCCCTGTTGCCCAGTTTAATATAAGCAAAGTAGATAGAACTTGAAATTTCTTATAGGTTGTTTGAAATGATCTCTAACATGACATTTGAGTAGTTGGAGGTCAGTCTGATGGCAGAGAATCTCAAAACTGTATTCTTTAAGGAAATCCTAGTTTTATAGGCCCATGGGAAAAGCTCTTTAAAATCTCAGATCATCTCTTCGCTGCTACAGGAGAAATTGTCCTGGGAATCTTACACAGTCAGCCCCCCGTACCTGTGGGTCCTGCGTCCGCAGGTTCAACCAAGCACAGATGGAAAGTAATATTCTTGTCTGTGTCTTTGAGACAGGGTCTCGCTGTGCACCAGGCTGGCCTTGAGCACACTTGGAGGCTGACCTCGACCTTGCAGTGGCCATGCGGCCTCAGCCTCCCACTGCTGGCTGAGGTCCAGGTGTGCACCACGCCCGGCTGGAAAATAACTTTCTAAGAGCTGTTCATGTTGGCTGGGCATGAGGCTTGTACCTGTAATCACAGTGCTCTGGGAGGCTGCAGTGGGAAGATGGCTGGCTGCGCAGGTTAACAATTTAGTGAGACCCTGTCTCAGAATAAACTAAAAAGGAGGGAAGAGTGGGTGGCTAGGGATGAAATGCACTATGAAAGCCTTGGTTTAATTCCCAGTACCACCAAAAACAAGAAGAAAAACTGTGTTTGTACCAAAAAACAAGTCACTGAACACACGTGCTTCGCTTATCCCCTAAACAATAAAGTATACAAGTGATATTCGTGTTACATTATTGTAAGTAATACAGACATGACGTAACGTATACAGGAAGATAGAAAACAGTTATAGTAAAGCGCCACACCATTTTCTGTAAGACATTTGAACGTCTTTGCATTTTGGTGTCTGCAGGAAGTCCCAGAATGAAAGCCCCGGGCTTACTGATAGACGGCTGTATTGATGCTCGCCTGCGAATGTGTGGCATCTAACTCGACTTCTGTTCCCCTCAGTCCTCCGAAAACCAAGGACTCCGTGCCTGCAGCTGTCCCTGTGCCAGGGAGAAGCAGCAGTCAGGTGACCACCAGCCAGACCCATGTCCCGTCCGGAGCCGGCTCCCACCAGCTGGCGGCTGGCCCGGTGCACAGCGCCAGTGACCCCAGCCCTCACACTCTGCGCCGGGGTAAGGAGCCCCGGGGATGCGCTGCCGCAGTGAGTCAGTCCAGGGGTGAGGCTTTGGGGTCATCTTTTCTGCGGATATTTAGAAAATGGGAAGCAGGAAAATCAGTCATTAAAGCAGAGAAGTCGTTTAAGAATGTTTCCCTGTCATAGTTCATTCTTTAGAAACTTGCTTGGATTTCCGAGAATCTGCTCTTCCCAGGCTCTGCGCCATTGAGTAATGTCCTGGCCTCTGCTGCCTGGCATGTGGTTCTGGAGGCCACTGTGCCCTCTGAACTGGGCCAGCACTGTCGGGGTCTGCTTGGCTCCCACTCAGCCCCTCTGTGGTCCTTTACCCAGCAGCTGGGGGCATTGCTTTCAAACACAAAGTGTTGAGCCATTTCTTCAGAACTCACCAGTGGGTGCCTGTCCCCCTCCACCTGGGCCCCGGGGACCCAGCTGGCTCCTGCCTCTGAGCCCTGCTCCCTGCTTTGCTCTGCTCTCTCTCCCTGGCTGCCCCGAGCTCCCTCCTTAGAGTGTCCGCAGCCTGTTCTTGGCTCTTCTGAACATTCCGTCTGATTCCTTCACATTGTCCTTCTTAGCATTTAGGTCACTGACTCCATAAACCAACCCTACATACACAAGCATCCTCTGTCATGTCAGTCTCATTTTTTTCTTGATCTGCAGTTTTTGTTTTGTTTTTGTTCAGGGTCACACTTCATAGCTTGAACTCATAGTGATTCTCTTGTTTTCAGCCTCACTAGTGCTGGGATTATAGGCACGTGCTACCATGCCTGGTCTCCGTCACTGGCTCAGCACACCCAGGGGCGGGACCAGCATGGCATGTGGTTAATCTGCAACTTTCACATTTGCTGATTAGCTTGTTGCTTGTCTGCAGGTCACTGTTGGTGACCGCGTGTGCGTACATGTGCCTCACACTCCATGTCCCTAACTTGTGCTGTGCCCGTCACAGAGTGAGCCCTGCGGGTACTTGAGAAGCTAGTGTTGATTCCGTCCCCTCACCTTAGAACGTTTGGCGATGTCTAAAGACTGGTTGTCACAAATGGTGAGGGCGTTGCTCTTGGCATCTAGTGGACAGAAGCGGGGCGCTGCTCGAGAGCCTGCAGAACGCACAAGTCAGCCTGCGAGGAAGTTAGTGTGACCCAGAACGACAGCGGCAGTGCCAAGATGGAGAAGCCCCAGTCTGGAAAGGGCGGGGCGTGCAGAGAGCTGAGGGGCCCAGGGCCTCCCTGGTGGCGTGACAGTTCTCACTGAGTGTGTGTGTCTCGCAGCTCTTGAACACTCACAGAACAGTACATTGAACACATTCCCAGCAGGGCCACGTTGCCACCGGGCACTCGTTTTCCCTGAACCTCGGGTTTCTGTGCTGTGAAATGGGTGTAATGTAGTGCCAGGTCTTCCATAAGCTGATGAGACTTTCATGACATAATTTATGTGCAGGGCCTGCCTCAGCACAGGTGATAGGTGAGGTGAGACGCACATGTTGTTTCTTTCCTTCATTTCTGTCCCCTTCTGGGGGGAAAGTCAGTGAGAATTTGAAAAATGTTCAAGTCTCCTTTCTGCCCATCTTTCCCAGCCCCAAACCAAGCCTCTGATGTGTTGTTTTCACTGACTTCTTGGCACCGAGCTCCTGGTCCCAATCTTGGCTGCCAGTGACGGCGATTTGGCTGTCATTAAGCAGTGATGGCAGCTCTTCCAGGTGGATCTGTACTTCCATGTAGGATGCTGTCAGCTCAAACGATGTTGTCATTGGTGGAACTTCTTTTTTTTTTTTTTTTTTGGCAGAACCAGGGATTGAACTTAGTCCCTTGCACTTGCCAGGGAAGCGCTTATTCACTGAGCCATCTCCCCCCCCCCTTTTTTTTTGTGGAACCGGGGATTGAACTCAGCCCCTTGTGCTTGCCAGGCAAGCCCTTATTCTACTGAGCCATCTCCCCAGCCCTGGAACTTCTGTTATAAAAAAAAAAGAAACCTGGAAGGTGGCCCAAGTGGGCCGAGGTGGGTGAGGTGGGCCACCATGGGGAGGAAGCGGGTGCGATTGGGCACGGAGGAGAGGCTGCCGAGCGGCCTGGAGCCGCACTCCATGTGGCTGTTGCAGTCTCAACGGAGTTCGCTTCCTTCCGAGCCTCTAAAATGACTCATCACAAGAGGTGGATGTGGATTACTTTTTAAAGTAAATGTTGAATTTTGAGGTACAGCAAAGCAGATTTCCCGTATTCTCCACCCAGTTTCCCCATTGCTTACATCTGACGTCACCCCCAACATCTGTCACAGCCAAGAGAGTGACCTTGGCTCGGAGCAGCGGCCCCACACTCGTGTCTGATTGCGCAGCTTCCCTTGCATTCCGTCCCTAGAGGAGCACGCTGCATGGAGCAGCGCTGGCTGCCAGCCCCTCCGGGCTGCACGCTTTTCTCCATTGGCCTGGCGTTTTCATGGCTCTGGCAATTGGAAAGGGTGACCAGATGCCTGGTTAGCCAGAAGCTCCCCGGGCAGCCAGGTTTTGTGGGCTTGGGGAGGAGGGCACAGCGGGGCCCCCCACTGCCTGTGCAGGCGTGCAGCTGCTCATCTGGGGCACGGGTCTGTCTCCTGGCTCTCCCTGTGACAAAAGGCATTGTTTTTCCCCTTGCGCAGCTGTTAAGAAACCTGCTCCAGCACCCCCAAAGCCAGGAAACCCACCTCCTGGCCACCCCGGGGGCCAGAGTTCTGCAGGAGCCTCGCAGCCCCCACCCAGCACATCAGCGAAGCCAGCCGCCCGGAGCCCTTCTCCCCCGCAGCATGCTGGCCAGGGCCCTGCCCAGCCCTCAGCGACCCGGAGGTCCTCCAGCAACCTGTCTCCAATCCAAGCACCGAGTCACCCACCGCCGCAGCCCCCAGCCCAGGCCGCGACCCAGGGGCACGCCAGGCTGAGCAGCCAGGGCAGCGCCTCCTTGGGGGCCCTGCCTGGGGAGCACGGACTAGAGCAGCCTCCTCACACCCCTCCCCAGACCCCAACACCCCCCAGTACCCCACCTCTGGGCAAACAGAACCTCAGCCTGCCGGGGTCTCAGACCCAGGCAGTGAGTAACCCCGAGACTGCACAGCCGCATACTGGAACCCTGCCGAGACCCAGACCTGTACCAAAGCCACGGAGTCGACCCAGTGTGCCGCCACCGCCCCATCCCCCCAGCGCTCCCCCAGCTGGGGACAGCAGCCTCGCCACTGCAGTTCTGACAGCTTCCAAAATAGTGACAGGTAAGTAGGAAGCGGCCCTGTGGTCCCCATCCACTCCCTGTTGCCTGGTTCCTGTTCCCTCCCCGAGGCTTCCGTGGAGAGCAGGCATCAGCAGACTGCCTGCCGACTGCACCTGGCCCGGCTGTGTGTGCGGTTAGTTTTGTGGGCACAGGCCACACCCCTTTATTGGCTGCAGTCCCTGAGGGCTGCTGTGCAAGGCCAGCGGTGGAGCGGGGCGCTGCGGAGCCCCTAGGGCCGCAGAGCCCAAGGCCTGCTCCTGGCCCTGCTGGCTTGCTGACCCTTGCTTCATTCCTTTATGTGCCAAGGACCAGTCTGCAGTTACGGTTTTCAGAGGATGATTTTAATCCAGGTTGAAGGTGTACATAGCATGAAATTAACTTCTCGGTGACTTCCTGTCAAAGTCCTTTATTTCCTGAGAGTAGAAATAAAAATGCCGTATCGGTGAAGGGTTTCAGGGCTGGCCTTAAAGTCCTGGCTTGTGCCAGCATGGGTGCGCTTGGCCAGCCGCTCCCAGGACCTGATTACCTCAGACGCTGGCCCACGTCGCTGGCGGGGCCGGGGAGCTTGTCCTGTGAGCGCGGCGGAAGCCGCCTCGCGTGGGGCGTGGCGCGCATGCTCAGTATTTCCGGCGGCAGTCAAGGGTATCAAGGATATGAGTGCCTTATGTAATTACGACTTAAAAATATTTCCATCCCCGTTACTGAGATTCACTATTTAATTGAAACGTGAATGTTTCGATTTTAAAAACAGTGATTCAGTGATTAGAAGCTCTGCTCCGTCCCTCTCAGTCACAGCGGCCAAGCTGCAAGTTCCTCTGGGGGGACACATTCTGGAGACACCCGGGTAGCGCTCTGGGCTCCTCAGCCGTCCTGAGTGACGCCTCCTGCCACAGCACACTGGCACTGACACTGCCGAGGACGCCATTAGCTAAGAAGGGTCTTCTAATAACTTCGCTTTCTCAGGAATGTAATGCCTAAAGTACATACCTAGTAATCATGATTAATAACTTCTCTAGGACTCACATTCATTTTGAGAACAGAAGCCACATGGGTTTACCTGCTTGTCTGTTTCCCAATAGATGCCCTTCCTAGTGCCCTCCCAGGCGGGGAAGGTGTCCAGGACTAAGGTCTGTAAGCCCGTGAGCAGCTTGAGCCGCAGCTGCAAGCGCGCCTGCTTAGCTGTGTCCGTGTGTGTGCTTTTGGCTGTGGGCGCCGAGCCGTGGGCCGCGGCCAGCGTGCTGTAGCGTGTAGACTGCATTGTGTCCGCACCTCAGCACTGGTGCTGCAGATCCCAGGGCAGCTGTCGGGAGGCTGAGCACCACGTGAAAGCACTCTGATAAGGTACTGAGGAGGTTTTTTTCTTTTGGGGAAGCCTTTCCCAGGCATTCTGCTTTCCCTGCCCTTCACCTGTCGTCAGATGGCTCCTGAGGGTCTAACAAAGAGGACCTGGGTGTCACCAGCATAGAGAGTTGGGTCCTGTGTCTTGCGCTTTAATTTTTAATTTTTGTATTTTAAGTGCAAGTTAACTGCATGGAGCTTTTTAATTATATTTGAAATTCTCGGAACAGCAGAAAGGTTTCCCCAGCAGTCTCCCTCGGAATTCCTTTAAACTCATCTGCGTTCTGGCATGCTTAAGTTTTGCTTTCTTAGACCACATAAGCTTGTTGAAAGGTACTATGAGGAACAGGCACGGCAGCACACACCTGTAGTCCCAGGGGTCTGGGAAACAGGGAGAAGGATGGCGAGTTCAAGCCCAGCCCGAGCAACTTAACTGGCTTAGTGGGACCCCGTCTCAAAATAAAAAGAGCCGGTTGCTGCTCGGTGGGAAGGCCCTGGTTCAGTTCCGAGTGGTGAAGACTGCAATCCCGCATTATCCTGTTCTTTAATACCGTTGTTGCCCAAGCCGCATTTATGGTAGAAGGTGGTCTTACTGGTCTGTTAGAACACTGCACTGCACTAGCCTTGATAAAGTAGTAGACACTTGACATTTCACATTTTGAAAAACTTTTTCTTAAGGTAATAGCTACGTACTTAATCATTCTATGCTACAAATTCTCCTCACACAAGATATCCCAGGTCCCCCTAAATATCTTTGTACACCAGTCACCCTCTAGTCCCTAAGTCCCCCGAGAAGCCCGTTGGAGGTGCACAAAAGGCCAGCGTCTAGAGTCCGTGGCCCATGGTGGTGTCCTGCTTCTGTCAGGCAGCCATGCTGTGGTAGGGCTCCGGGGCTCCCGGAAGAAGAGCAGCAGCTGCCTAGACAGGGCAGTCTTGTAGTGTCACGTTTCTGCTTGGAGAATTTAGACAGATTCGTTCCTGAGAGCAGCTTGTTTGTTTAGAGCACGGAATCTTCCAGCGTGGACTGAGGCTTGCGGATGAAGGGAAGCCCTCCCAGCGGCAGGTCCCCTGCTGCGGGGCACGCCTGGCTGCCCGCGGGGCGCAGGAGCTGTGCTGTTCAGAGTCTGGAACTCCCGAGTCTGACTCCAGAAGGCAGCGGGGTTTTAACTTCTCAAATAAGAGAGTTTACCATCGTGCTGTTTCTAAAGTCTAGTTTTTAGGAAAGAGTATTCTAATTTAAACATTTTATTAAATAATTTAGATGTATGACCTGCCATATTCAGTAAGAACTGAAATTGGAATATATAATGGTAAGGAAAAGGCACCTGATTGGCCAAAGCATATTTGCTACTGTACGATCATATTTGTGCACTAATGCCTGTTACTAACCAGGTACCCTAACCTCGTGTGCTTGCACCCCACTAATAGTGCATGCCTAACGAAGAAGCGGCGTGTGCGTGCTTGCTGCCAGTTTTCAGCTGTTCGTAGATGCTAACTGGTAACCTTGTTACTTACTTAATTTCCATTCTTCTCCCTGTTGAGCAGGCTTGAGGCATAGGAAGAGGAAGAATACAGGCTGTAGATTCAGACACACCTCAGAATTTCAGTTCTGCAGCATCAGGCTAGGTGCAGGCTGGTGGTCTGTGGACCGGTGACACCCAGCAGAACTGCTGAAGGGTTCAGTTAGACACAATAAGGAAAGCGTCTATTACAATGTGTGATTTGGTGGATTTAGATAAATGGCAGTCACTGTGTTTACCCAGAAGAAGATATGTTTAATCAGAGTCACACATTAGATTCATGTGCTGTCATTTCAGAGCGTAAATGCCCAGGCCCAGCTGTCGTGGACTCAGAGACGGAGGCCAGGGCAGGGCAAGGTATTGGTGGTGTTTTTTTTTTGGTGGAACTGGGGATTGAACTCGGGCCCTTGCCCTTGCCAGGGAAGTGCTTATTCCACTGAGCCACCTCCCCGGCCCCAGTATTGGTGTTTCCATCTGGTGCACCCCTTGGTCTTCCTAGAATCAGCTCTTTCATTGGTTACAAGGCAGTGCCCAGCTGAGTGTGGTGATGTACATCTGAAATCCCAGCACTTTGGGAGGTTGAGGCGAGAGGATCACATATGAGCTCATCCCAGGCAGCTTAGCAGTTTAGCAGACTGTCTCGAAATAGGGCTGAGGAGATAGCAGCACAAGCACCTGCCTGGCAAGCACAGGGTCCCAAGTTTGATCCCTGGTACTGCAAAGAAAAAACAAAAGCATGCAAGACTGGGGATGTAGCTTAGCGCACACCACCAAAAAAGATACTTTGTAATTTAGTGAGAACAGCCAGGAAAGAGCCTGCTGTCACCTGTCCATCATGGTGTCACCCATGAACTGGACGCTGTCACAGCTAGCGGTGGGCCAAGTCCAGGGTACCCTCTTCCTGAAGGCAGACTTAGGAGAATACTGTGTTTTAAAAAGTAGGCATGGGTATACTGGAAATTAGGAAGACTGGGAAGCCAGTGATAGTGATAGTAGGCTTTTTTAAAATTGTTTTTATTTTTTTGAAGGCAAGAAGGTGCAGGATCATAATTAGTTTGGCATATACAGATGTGTTTTTTTGGTACCCAGGATTGAACTCAGGACCTTGTGCCTGCCAAGCAGGTACTTGTGCTGCTGAGCTATCTCCCCACCCACCCCCCGTTTTTTGTGAGTATCCAAATGTTAATCATACATTCTGGTCACTTGAGGTGTTCAGCAGGGATGCGAACTTGTGACCCTGCCTCAGCATCCTAGGGTGCTGGGATTGCAGGTGTGCGCCGCCACGCCTGTCAGGTGTGAACTTTTATCTTACTGGCCTCTGTTCTTTTCCATGTGGCAGATTAGTTTTTATTACCTTCTCCTTAATGACAGCATATTTCATCAAAAGACGCATTATTGCCTGTAGTTAATCAGAGAAATGACTTCTGCTTCCAGATTATTTTTAGTGAGCGAATGACAGACATGAACAGTGTCCTCCAGCTGGGGCTGTAAATAACTGACCCGGTCTCTCGTGGGCCAGAACACCAGTCACAGCCTTCCTTGGTGAGCAGGAGAGGGAGGCCATGTCCCTAGAACTGGTTAGGGCCGAGCGGCGGCGGCGGCGTGGGGCTCACGGCCACCTTCATCTGTCACTTGCCCAGGCTGTGATCAGGAACCCTGGCCTTAAAGGAGAGGCTTATGGCCTAAAGCACACATTTGAATTGTCGAGACAACTGTAGTTCTAAATGGAACCATGCTGGGCAGAGCGTGTACCCCCACGATGAAGGTCCTTGCCACAGTGCCTTCGGGCGGGCTGCGTCTTGGGCGCCTCTTCTTTTTCTATTTCAAACATCTATCATCTGAATAAGACAGATGAGCCCTACCACGCCGTGCCGACGTCTGTTTTGCAGAGGAGCAATGTGAGATGCCCTCCGCTCTGTGCACGCAGACCGCTTGCCCGCACCAGCAGGGGTGTGATTCTCCGCTCAGTGGTAGTTCTGAGGCCCAAACTGTCTGATGTGACATAGCACCTCACCTCTTCATCTCCCTAGCCCCTGATGAGTCGGCTCGAGAAACCTTGCGGGAGGACTGTGGGGCCAAGAGACGAGCCAGCACTGCCCAGGGGAGTAGAACACAACGGCAGGCAGTGTGTGCCAGCCGTGTGTGCCTGGGAGGAGCAGGCCCAAGTCCTGTCCCAGCAGCCCCAGCAAGGGCAGGGCAGGGTCGCAGCACGCCAGCTCCCCAGCGTGACCATGGGCTCCGGCCTCTGTCCTTCTCCAGGGTGGCCCCTGACCGAGTGAAGTGACAGCCAACCTGAGTGTTTCCCTTCTCTCTCACCCTGGCCTCAGGATTCTACAAGGGCTCTTGGAATTTACTAGAAACTGAACACCCTGTCTTGCTTAAGGCTGGGCTTCTGGACGTACCTATGGCGTCGTCACAGCGATGGCGTCCACATTCGTCAGTCCTCGGCAGGTGGCACGGGGCCTGGCCTGTAGCTGCTGGTCAGTGAACAGCTGCTCTGAATGAGTGGGTCAGACCTGCTGGCCTCTCCAGGGAGGGCGCAGGAGTCCCTGAAGCCTGGAGTGAGGCTGTAGGACCACGTGTCTGTCATCCTCCTAAAGGGGTTTGATCCACCATAAGACCCTGAAGGGGACCAGGGGGACTAGAAAGAGAAGAGGAAGGAGTTTGCTCAGGCTCCTTGGAGGTCTGCTTGTCATTGTCAGCTTCAGGGGACTCTGCCCCACGGGGCGCTGGCAGCATTGCCCTGGGGAGGAGCGGATCTGCCGCTGCCGGCCGAGGCCGGGGCTTCTGCTCAGGGCACAGGGCAAGGTGCTTCAGCCCAGCACGTTGCCAGGGCCGCGCGTGACGCTGCCCGGGGCTCCTGGGCCTGTTGTGTATGCTCAAGGGGCCGACGGTGCAGGGGAGGGGCTACGTGTGCACGCGGCGAGCTCCGCCCCCAGCCTCTCCCTGCTCTGGTGCCCTTGGTGGCCTTGCGTGTGTCAGCTCTGTGACTCATGCCTCCTCGTGTTTTTGTCCAGACGCCAGTTCTAGGGTTTCAGAACCGCTTCCCAGCCTCTTTCCAGACATGCACCCCGACTCGGCGAGCAGAGACGTGCCCGGCCACATTCTGCTGGACATAGACAATGACACGGAAAGCACCGCCTTGTGAGAAGGCCGCCTCCTGGCCGGTGCTCACCCCACCGGTGAGGGCACTTGGACAGGAGCCCCTCCATCTTTGCAGACCAAACAGTGAAAGCTTTGAGTGGAGAAAGCCTCGCACGAGGGCTCGGCCTCCACACAGCCCCGCAGGGCGCGGCAGCTGGTGCCCAAAGCTGAATGACCTGGGTCCTGAAGAAGCCGGCTTTCTTTACTTAGGAAAGAAATCACACCCCAAAGATCAAAGCCATGAAACCCCAAGGTGGGAGGAGCGTTCGTGCTGAGAAGTGTGTGGGAGCGTGGCCGCTGCTGTTCACGCAGGCGGCCCCCACAGCAGCCCCGAACGGACAAGAGCAGCTTGTTTACTCTGGTTAATGCAGCCACGTCTCACGAGTACCTGCGTCCTGACCTCGCCTCGCTCTCGCGCCCTGGGAGGAGGCTGCCCAGCAGACTTGCGCGGAGTCGCTGGGTGGTGGGCGTGGCCTCCGTCTCGGGGCTCAGCCCGCGCATTGCTGGTGACTGCTGGGCCCGTCACCTCCAACTGGATGACTGCCTCATTGGATTGCAGAATGTAGACACAAGCGTACTGTTCTTTTTAAAAAAAACAAGACAGTGTAATTACTACTTGATAAGGACCGAACATTACTCTAGTTTTATGTTTAATTTGAATTAAATATATTCTTGGTTTATATGAAACCTTGGTGGTTCTTGGAGGAGTATGTGTATATGTGTGTGTAGATACACTATCTTAGGCATAAGAGTTTGAAAGCATAGAGCCACACCCCTGCGGTACGAGAAGCCACTGGGCCCCAGAGCCCCTAGACGGGCTGTCCCCATGAGCAGCCCAGGGTCCAGGTCATGCGCGTGGTCTCACCAGCCCTGCGCTCCCCTCCGTGCCTGCAGAGAGGCCGAGCTGAGGGTGAGCTTATCCACAGTGAACCGGCCACAACGCGACCTGGCACAGGTGCTGACTGGGGCAGATGGGTGCTTGTGGCCAGACTCACGCTCAGCCCTTTATGCAAAAGCCATCGGAGGCCATCCCTGAGAGTTGCCCAAGTCCCAACAGTTTCAGCACCGCTGAAAGTCCCAGCCCCAAGTCTCCTCCAAGCCCCAAGGCAAACTCCTAGTGTGAGCCGCCGTGCAGATGCAGAGTTAAGTGCTTGCCAAGCACTTGCAGCGTGCAGTGGCGCAAGGTAAACATTTACACTCCAGAAGGTACAGCAGGACACCACGCCCTGCAACCAGAGCCAGTCCAGACTCCAGCGGGACAAACATCAAGTCGTACAGTTCCACGTGGAACACCCAAAGCAGTCTGTGGCAAGTTCTGAGCTCCATGTGGCTCCACCTCTGTGGCACTCTTGGTAGTAGCGCCCGTGGCTTCTCACCTAGGCTGGGTTTACTCGCTTCTTGCAGCTTTGCTTAGATCATCCACATTTCTGGCTTTTCCACACATCTGGAGTCTCCACTGCACTGTAGGTTTCTCACTGCTTCATGCACTGCCCTCTCGGGCACACCGCCTGGCCCCGCAGGCCTTCTTCTGAAATCAAGGTGGAAGCCTTCTTAACCTCAGAACTCTTACATTCTGCATTTGCCTAAAAGCAGGGCCATGTGGATGCGGCCAGGGGCTGCTGCCAGCTGGAGCACTAGCCAGGTTTTCTTTAATCTTGGCTTTAGAAGTTTAGTGCCTGCATTTCTGATCAGTCTGACCCTGATTCCAAGGAACAGATTTTCTATAATAACACCATTCTGGAACCTTGTATGACCCCACCATTTCCAAAATGTTGTGCTCTGTGGCTTTTTCTTCAAAGCAGTCTTCCACTCTCACAGTTTTGAAGCTGCAAAGGGTGGAGACTTACTCTTGTGATGCCCTCAGGCTGTCCTTTCTCTTGTATTGTTCTTCCTCAGCAATAGAAACCTCAGCTCTATTTTTGCAGTATTTAGTACAGGGTCTACAGGGTCTCACTAGGTAGGTCAGACTCATAGTGATCCTCCTGTTTTCAGCCTCCCAACCACTGGGATTACAGGCACATGCCACCATACCCAGTCTCAGTCGCCATCTCAGTGCACCCCTGGGAGGTGGGTCAGCATGGCACACCAGGGATTGAACCCTGGTCCCTGCATCTGCCTAAGCAGGCACTTTAGTCACTGATCTTGGCCAGCCACCAAATTCACATTTTAAATCATCCTGCTAGGTTCTTTGCTCTTGATTGTCCACATAAATCTGACTGAAAGCCCCCGTCAATAGCCATGCCACTGCCTCAGCATTCTACTGCCTTGAAATTTTGTTTACCAGATTAATCAGTCTTCCATGCTTAATCTCGGTCTCAGGCAAAATTTCTAGACACAGGCAAAATGCAAGCTATAACATACATTGTCTGGAGTCCAGTAACCAGTGCAGTCCTTCCCAGCAGAAACCTGCCCAGCCTAGTCTTCAAAGGCGGGATTTTCGTCAGCCTTCCGGTGTTCTGAGCTCTGACCAGAATCTCCCATAGAGAACAGTCAGGCATTCCAGCGCTTCTCTCAGGCAACACCTCCAAACCTTTTCTGTTTCTTCCCATAAACCATTCCCAAAGGTCCTTGAACCACATGGTCAGGTAGAGTCACAGCAACAATTTAATTATTTAGCTCCCAGTTAGTGGAGGTTTCAGTCCATACTCAGGTGGCGCTAAGGCAGGAGGAGCAGCTGAGGCAGCTAGCAAGCCTCTCCCCTCCTCACATCGCACTCAGGCTGTCCACCAGGGTGGGTGTAGCTCTCACACCCATAATCCCAGCGCTGGGTCACAAATTAATCACAAAGTCTAGAATCCTGCCCCAGTGACTGCGTGTGGCTTTGGGGACACAACTAGAGACAACATCAAGGTTCTGTTTTCGTCCTCTCTTTGTATTTTCATTGAGGTTTATGCACATCAACAAATTACACATCAATGAGCCCAAATTTTGCACGTCATTTCACGTAGACACTCGGCATCTTCACAAAAGTTCCCTGAAAACCAAGCTCTTAATGATGCGTTCTACAGATAAATGTGTCTTCTTCCTGTACTGTTTCCTAGACCCTTGGAACCACGAGAACCGTGATGGGAGGAGTTGTGCACGCAACTGGGGATGGCTGCACTATCTTCCTTTTTTTTTCTTAGTTAATGAAGTTTCCTTTTTTTGTTTTTGCAGTGTCATTTCACACAAAAGCAATATAAGCACAACTTTGCAATTGAATATCTGAACCAAGAATCTGTACATTATCATTTACAGCAGTTTTATGTGGTACATTAACTAAGAAAAGCTCGCTCTGAATCTTAAGTGTCAGGGCACTGTACGTTCAGGTCCTAACTAGGGTTGTTTCCAAGTACCAAATTAAAACTGTGCAACTTAGAAAACCTGTGAATGGTCTTTAACTTTCCAGTTTACAATGTTTGGCTTTCAGAGCTCTGTATGAGAAGCAAACCTTAGTTTGACATACTGATAAATAAAAAAACGAGAAGGGAAGTTTTCAGAAAGTCACCCTGGCATCTGCCTCTGAGAACACCGTAGGGAAAGCTAGTTCTGTGTTGGTCCTTTGAACGCACAGTCAGGTCACACCCGGATCGGGGGCTCATGGACAACCAGACGAGCAGCAACTGGTAGGTAAATCACTCTGGGCCGTCTGATTTGGGGTAAAGAGCTCAGTGGGCATTAGCCCACTAGATTTGTTTCTAGATTGTTGGAGACTCCATCTGCCTCAGATTAAGGTCCACTTACCTTTTAAGCATGCAAAACACTGTATGAATAAGGCAAGAGTAACAACTCCACGTGAAATAGCTGGGTAATTAGCACAGACACCGTCTGAAGCGCATAGCGCACGCACACAGCCGAAGGTGCGGCCGCTGTCCAGACCCCGGACCTGGCTCCTGGGAGGACCCAGAGGGGGCAGGGCTGGGGAGGCCGCAGCTGAGGGAGCTAGGGAGGAGATGGCAGAGGGCACGCAACGAGCCCGCGGGGCCTCAAGGTCTGGGCGTCTGGAAGCCTTCCCAAGCCAGGACGACTGAGGAGAGAAGGACGCACCAGGCGGACTCGGACCTTGGGCCCTGTGGCAGTGGTGCCAAGCTGAGCGCAGCTGTGTAGAGCGGAGGGAGAAACCAGGCGAGGGAAGGGCTGTGGCTGGCGGCTGTGAGGCCAAAGCCAGAGAGCACTTGTGTTCTGGAGGACAGATGCACTCTGGGTCCGCCAGGCCCTGAGAAAGCAAAGACGTGAGCGGCACATTCCACCCGGAGGGAGTTTTGAGTCCAGTTGGGCAGACAGTAGAGAATTTAGGAGTACAATGTGGTACAGGTTTCAAAGGCACAGGTCATAGTGAAAGACTCCAGGCAGGGGACCAGCTTGCTCAGATCTGCTTCCGCCTGCAACAGGAGACTGGGCACAACTAGATGGAAGGACCTGCTCAGATCTTCCGCCTGCGGCAGGAGACTGGGCACAACTAAATGGAAGGGCAGGCGGGATGCTGGGGCTGCCGGCGGTGCAGGGAGTGGGCGGTGGCCTGAGCGGCGGGAGGGCCAGCTCCACCAGGATGCTCCGGCTAGCCGGAGTCCTGGTCCCCCACTTCCCTCCCACTTGGCTCCATGCTGGCCCTCCAGCTGTCTCACTTCCCAAGCCCTCTTGGGGTCTTGCCACAGCTGTCACATGGGTCTGGATTGAAGCTGCGCTCGCACCCCCACCCACCCCAGTACCACTCCTGGGAGCACTGGGTTTACCTTGATCCAGCTCATCTGTTACCTGGATTAGTGCAGAAAGGGGAGACTGAGCTAACTGGCCCGGGTGGGCTGACCCAGGTGTCCAGCGCATGGCCTGAGAACGCAGGAAGGATCGCTGAGAGCCTGTGGCCCAGCGGTTCCTCGGCCCGCGTTTCCTATGTTCCCCTGCAGTCTGGAAATCCGGGTCCTTGGAGCAACAAGCCCCACCAGTCCACTTCCCAGTGCTGTTGGGGTGGTGAGTAAGCTCCACCAGTGACTTTGTCCCAGAGCTAGAGAGCTCACAGGGAGCATTGTGCCCGTGGTGGGCACGGCTCCTCAGTCATTTCAAAGGCTCTGTCAGGTCCCCAAGGAAAACCCGAGCAGCTGCTGCTGCGCAGAGCCAGCGGCTGCTCCCAGGTCTGACACAGCACAGTCTACCAGCTATGGGCTTTTTGCAGACTGCTTGGTTGGGGAAGCATTTCATGGGGAATTTAAGAAGCAGAAATCTCTAAGCAGAACTGGAGAAGTGTGTACAGTTGTCTGAGTTTCTTAAAAGCAAGAGCAAAACACTCAGTTCTGTTTTCAAGAAATTGCACCCAGGAGCAAGTACCATAAGGAGAAAGCCTTTAAGATCAGCTATTTTTTTTTTTTCTTTTAAAAAGAAAAAAGCCAGGACAGCATGGCACACGCCTGTGATCCCAGCTTCTTAGGAGTTTAAGGAAGGAAGATCACGAGTTCAAGGGCAGCCTGGGTAACTTAGTGAGATCCTGTCTCAAAAGACAGCTTATGGGTGTAGCCCATAAATCCCTGGGCTCATCCTCCAAAAAGAAAAAAGAGGAGTGAAGGAAAAAGAGACCAAAATGTCCTGATGCGCAGGGCCCAGGTCCACCTTGAAAGCCTTATAGTAAACAAACAAAGGCTTGATTATTATTATTTCTTTCATTAAAAAATATTGTTGAAAACAAAACACAGACACCTTGGATCCTCACATTAAGCAAAGTAGCCCCAGAGGAAGATGGCGCAGGTGATGCAGACGATGCAGTTGACGTCCAGAAAGGTCTTCACCCTGGGGTTTTCCTCTAAGGAAATGAGGACAGGTTCCGCTCTGTCTGGGGGTGCCTCTTTGCCCCGCTTCTCCATCCCACAGAGCCACAAGATGGCCTTCACCACTTTGGACTGTTTTGTGGTCGCGTCACCTGAGAACCAGTGAAAGAAAGTCATGGAGGCGGCCCGGCCAGCTGCCACCTGCACCAGAAGGCGGCCTGCGTGTGCCTTTTCTGGAAGGTGCTGGCCACAGCCCCAGATCCACCAAACACACAGTGAAGGTACTTGGGAGAAACTGCCCATTCTGAATGCGTACAGGTTTTCCTTGCCATTATAAAGGCAATTCAATCTAACCACTATTTGCATTGCATTAGGTTGTTAAAGTATATAGGAGGATGCTTGCAACTTGCATACCATTTTATACGAGGGACCTAAGCGTCCATAAACTTCAGAATCTCTGGGGCATCCTGGAACCAGTCCCCTCCCCATACTGAGGAATGATTGTATCAATTAACTCCTTAAATTAGGAAGTCTGTTTAATTATGGCAGGTTGGTATTTTCAGAATCTCACTGTCTTCAGATGAAGAATTTCAGTGAGAAAGTTGAACGTCATACTAACTCACTTGAGCAAAGCTGCCCAGCTGATATGCTGGGGCAGAAGTGGGTCAGACCCTCGAGGCCAGCTACACCACCTCCCAGGAGGCTGCCGGGAAAACCTGTTTTCTGTTTAGAGCTCGGGCAGTGAGTCCAGCTGTTTACAGGATCAGATACTCAACACATTTGCGTCCGGGGAAACACGTGTATTGAACATGTAGAAATAGGCCTCACGGTTACCAAGAGGTGTGCTATTCTCCATTTTTCTTTAAATGCATGGCTTTCTGGAGTTTCCCACTTTCGGTGGACACGGGTCCACCGCCACAGCATCCAAAATGAGAACCAACAAGCAGAAGCTGTGGCTGTCCACAGCCTCAGGATCATGGGATACCAGGCAGACTCACCGAGGGACACAACCACGTCTAGGGGCGGCTGCCTAACTCCACATAACTGCAGTGTGTAGACACGTGTGCTCAGTGTTGCCACCTGGTCCTCCCAGGAGAAGATGGACATAAACATTCACTCATTCAGGTAAGACCAGAGGCCCCAACCTTTGGGCCGCACAGACTGGTTTCACGCCAGACCGTTTCCCATGGTGTGCGTGTGGGGTAGTGTTGGGACAACGCCAAGGAGCATGCAACCTAGCTCTCTTGGGCACACAGGTCTCAGTGGCTCTGTGTCCTTAGGAGGCCCTCCATGGTCTCACGGCAGGTGGAACTGAGCCCACAGGAGCGGCAGCTAATACCCCCGAAGCTTCCTGTGCTCTTGCCCATCGCCTCCGGACCTGGACCTCACGCTACCAGGCCACGGACAGGTCCTTATCTGCGGCCCAAGTTTGATTCAAACAGGTGGGCAACGCTGACATACGTGTACAAGCGTCAAGTAGAAAGGTACCACCCAGAGGTACTGTGCGCTTCAGCTGCCTGGGGGTCCATAAGGATTAATGGATCGTGTTCTTAGCAGACAGTCGGCAGGAACCCATCTGAGATGACTCTTGAAAGTTACGGGTGACCCCTTCCTGGTAGCTGGAGAGTGGGGAAGTCACTGGAGTCTGAGTACTAAAATTCTAAGTCTGTCCCCTTTGCTAGCTTGTGATTTGACAGAGAATTTCCCCTTGAGCATAAAACACTGCTTCTTGAGACTCCTCGTGTAACTAAGGCAAGAGGCAACTTACAGTTGTGGCTTTTCGACATGTTTTCTTGAACAATCTCAAACTGGATGCTGGCGCTGGGGGTTTCTGCAGTCCCGTTCTGAGAGACGGCAGGGGGCACGGGGGTTTCTGGTGGCCCTTGCTCCTTCTGGACCATGGGGTCGTGACGAGTAAACCAGGTCAGGCGACTGACCTAAGGCACAGAGATGAGCTGTTAGACAGGACGCGTTGCGAGCCCCTGTTCACACCCCCGGCAGCCTCTGCCTGCGCCCTCACGCCTGCCTGCCGGAGGCTGCTCTGTCTGCCCTTCTCCGCCCACGCTCTGGCACGCTGCAGCTCCCAGGGACCTGCTGAAAGCTCCATCTGTCTCTGACAGCTCTCATTCTTACGCTGGGTTCTACCTGTCCCTCCTGTTGTGCCTCTGGGTTTGGCCCTGCCCCTGGGGTATGGTGCAAGCCAAGGACTAAGATGACGTAGGTTCATCAGCTCCTGGACGAGCACGTGGTTGACCCCATCAATAGGAATCAGGCAGTTTAAAACAAAAAATTAAGGAATCAAGTTTGCCAGAAATCCCAAAGCAGAAATGCATATTCTTTGTTGTTGTTTCCCATTCCTGGGAATTAAATCTAGAGCATGTGTGGTGAGCAGCCACCCTGGCTCTGTCTTATTTCTTCTTCTTCTTTTTTTATGATTCCGGCACTTTTTTTTTTTTTTTTTTTTTTTGGTGGAACTAAGGATTGAACTCAGGCCCTTGCACTTGCCAGGGAACCGCTTATTCCACTGAGCCATCTCCCTGGCCCCTTCTTTTTTCTTTTGAGATAGGTCTCACTAAATTGCCCAGGTTGGACTTAAATTTATAATCTCTGGCCTCGGCCTCCTGGAGTGCTGGGATTACAGGCGAGTGCCACTATGCCTGGCTGGAATCCGTGTGCTTTTCATTAACGGACTCAGAGCATCTATCCTTGGAAGATGCATGGCCCCACGTGGGCCTGAGAACCAGAGCAGGCATGTAAGCTGGATTCTGCTGCCCTTTCTGTGTCTTGGACCCACCTTTCCCTGCATCCTGCCCTGGGCTTTTCGTTTCTCTGAGCACTCAGTCCTCTCCCTTAAACCAAGTGAAGTTGGTGCTCTTGTACTTCCAGAGCGCAGCTGACACAGCTGTCAGTTCAAACCTACCATCTCCTTAGAGGGCGGCTCTGTGAACCAGCTCACGGTGGCCACAGTGACCAGGGTGGTGGCAGACAGGATCATAGAGAAGTAGAGGTAGTGGATGTACTTCACCACCGCGGGGCGCTCGTCTGGCTGGTCACACCGAGGCTGAGCGTAGATGAAGTCCAGGACCAATCTGACCAGGCCCAGCAGCAGGCCCAAGATCAGGCCCGAGAAGGCGCCCTGGAAAGCAGAGCAAAAACACCGTGGAGACAGCAAGGGCTGGGGCCTCCAGGCACTCGGAGGCTCTCAGGAGGGCTAGGCGTTCTTCCGACCCTCACTGCCTGCGTCTGTGATGCAGAAAGGTGTGGAGCTGCTTCGCTGTTTCTCCTCCACAGTGCAGTCAGCCCTAGGTGTCCTGGAGGGATGCATTCCAGGACCTCTGTGGGGCCCAGCATCCACCCACGCGCAAGTCCCAGATGTAATGTGGGATAGCACTTGCGTGGTTTTTGTTTTTCTTTTTGGTGGAACGGGGGATTGAACTCAGGCCCTTGGGCTTGCCAGGCAAGCACTTATTCTACTGAGCCATCTCCCCAGCCCCCATGTGTAACTTTCATGTTTCATGAGTGCTTTAAATCACACTAGATTACTTATGATACCTAAGATAAAGTAAATGTGGTGTGAATAGCTTTACACGCCATGCTTTAGGGAATGATAAATAGAGCCTATGTGTTCAGTACATATGCCACATAACTATATTTTCACTTTGCTGTGGGTTGAGGCTGCAGGTGTGGAGCCCAGACAGGGCCCGCTGGATGCATCATGCGATTCTCATGCCATTTACCCCTTGTCTGCTGTTCACAGCTTCCCTGTTTGTAGAGCGTATCAAGACCCTTCTGAGAACCCCAGCGCACTATCTATAGTCACCCTGTATCCGCTGCCACAGGCCCCCTCCCCAGCGACACCGAGTCCAGCCCACCCTTGGTCCCTGCAGCCCCCTTCCCCAGGGCGGCACTTGGCTGTGGCGTGGTGTGTCCCGACCCACACTTGCCTTTTCATTAGCCCGCTTCCAGAAGCAGCCCATAATGAAGACCACGGCCACAGGCGGCTGCAGGTAGGAGCTGATGGACTGGATGTAGATGAACAGCTGGCCTCCCTGGCTGGCCTGGACCACAGGGATCCAGAGGATGGAGACGAGCACCAGGAGGAGCACGAATATCCTGCGCAGACAAGGGGGGCTCCGGACTGCTGCCGTCCCTGCCCTCACCCTCCCTCCTCCTCTCCTTGCTCTCTTTAGGTAACTGTATAGCAGCAGCGGCTCCATGCCCTAATTCCATACCTCGTACGCATGCAATCTGATAACTTGTATTGAATTTATGGAGTTGTCCAACCACTACTACAATCCATGTGTGGGCCTATGGGTGCCCCACAGGGACCAAAAGCAGAAAAAGCTTCCCCTTTGTTTTTTTTCTTTGCTAGTCTTGTGGCAGGGCTCTCCTTAGCTCAGCATAGGAGTATGTTGATCATTCTAGAAGCATCTTGCTAGGAGCTGACCAGACAGGGCTGATAAGCCCTGAAGTTACGTGCTTTTGTCTCCCTTCTGGACTAGATTTACAGGGCGGCCCCTAAGAAGTCCCCAGCCCTTGTCCTAAACCTGTGATCAGGATTCCAGGAATGTGGAACCCAAGTGACCAAGTCTGCATCACGGTCCTTTCCTGGGGACAAAGCCATCCCCCGGCTGTAAAGTTCTAGCTCTATTCATCGACCAGACCTGGCCCAGCAGCTAACCCTTAAAGACTGGCCTCCTCGGTGGAAGTGGGCCTGTCCCAACGCCCGTCCCAACAGCACCCCTCCCGCGGCCTGAGCCGGAGGCGATCCTTACTGCCCCTCTAGTGTTTCAGTTAAAGCTTTTCTTTTCCTGCTAGACACATAGGACATCCATCACACCAGACAGTTCCCTCAAACTCATTCGTAGTTTACTGCTTCTCCCACCCTGCGCAGCCTCTGTGCTGCGGTCTGCAGTGCTGCCCTTCCTCCGCATTTCCTGTGAATGGCGTCCTGTGTGTGACCGGTGGTCTTTTTTTTTTTTTTTTTTTTCTGTTTTCCTGTCTACTTTTTTTTTTTCGATAATTTTATTGAGAAACAAATAGCAATGAGACAGTTTCAAACCAAATTGGTAGGACAGTTTCAATAATTAACACATTGCATACTCTCT